CCCGAGCGCGAGTGCGAGCTCGGATGTGCTGGAATTGACGTGACGCAACCTGACATATTTCTTTCTTTTGCTCGGTAACGGCATGTCTACTGTTACTGTTGCAACAGTACCTATCCAAAATATTCTGTTTATCCAACCGTGCCAACCAAATTGTACCCGGATCGAGGCTGAATCTTAGTCAACAGTGATGTTGGTGTTACAGTCATCAACAGCCGTCGGTATCGCACATTACCCAGTGATAATTCATCATTACCTAAGATGAACAAATGCTCTCTGCATGCTCAGGTCATCATCCATCAATCAAATCATGACGGGATAGGTGCTCAGCCCGCCGCCGCTTGGGGGCCAAGCCAAGCCCGAAAGCGATACGTACCGCTGACAGTGCCAAACATCCCATCTCCGGCACGTGGACAGTGTTAACAACAAGACCGATACACTGTCCGGCTGCGGCCACTACGACAGTGCCACCGCTGTGGCGGCTAGGCCCAACAGGGGCATTCCAGGGTCCCCTGTCGCAACCCAAAAACGGAGACTTTGAACTCTTCGTTTTCCTCACTGTTACTCGATGCACCTGGTCTTTTTTACCTTGCATTTGTTACGCAGTAGACTCTCTTCCCAGCGGCCAGCCTGGATATCATCAAGCCCTTGTACCTGTCTTTTCCGGCCGGTTCCAGTCGAAATTTCAAAGGTGCAGGAAAAAAGAGGTACATTGCTTGCTCCAGAATCCAGTATCCCTACTCCCTCGGTCTAGAGATCGACAAACCTCGTCCGCACACACGCACAACCTTGAACCTCTCACCTATCCGTACTCCCTATTCCGTACGCCTTTTTCTTTTCTTGGGGCCTGGACCAGGTTTTCCCGCCATTTTTACCTCATCGGCCTCCACGTCTCAAAAACTTAACATTCCTCACCCTTCCGCCCGATACTTTCTCGCTCCTTTTCTCTTTTCCCTACCTTACCCCCTTCTGCCGGAGATCGATACCACACACCTCGGCTTATCTGATCAAGAATTCCACCACCTGGTTTCATCCATCTGACAACCCACAGCCTCCGAGCAATTCCTACAAGACTCCCTCTATCCTGCTTTCACTAGCATGCTGAGGACCTTCTGACTATCCGCCCCTCCATCCTCTCACTCACGTATACTTTACGCCGTCCTCTACGCCAAAGTCTTTTGGCCCACGGTCACCCACCAAAGTCGTTTAGGTCATCGGTACCCGTACTTCCGCCACCTAAACAACATCTTCGACGACATACGCAAATACGTCGCCATGCACAGCACAATGGCGACCACGGCCATGGCCTCTCACCTCATTGGGTCTATCAGCAACTGCATTCCTGAGGAGCCCAGCGTTTCTTCCGTCGCACCCTCCCTCACCTACTCGGAAGAGTCAGAGGATCAAGATGAGGAAATTCAGGTCCCCAGGAGGCGGCGCGCTTCTACCCGTCTCATTGCTCAGAGCCCCGCCGATATCCAGCGTATCACAGGCGAATCGACAGCCCAATTGATTCAAAGATGCTGCGGTGGCGGCTGCTGCATGAAGTTGGGTGCCAAGAAGGAGGGCCTCGAGTACGAGAGCATCCCCTTCCCCGACAACCACGCGTACAAGTCACTCGCCCTTAAGATTGGCGAAATCCCCACAAAGTTGACCGACATCGCCGACATGCCTGAGCAAACCGTCTTCTTCGAGCCCGTACCTCGTTCCACGGCGACCCCAGCAATCGCCTCGTCTCCCACAGACTCAGCAATTTCTCTGGGTGCTGATGCGCGCGAGGACAAGACCGCAGAGGCACTCGCCATCGTCCAGAACCAACTCAAGGACTTCACACTCGACAACATCGATACCGCCCGAGAGCCTCCCAGATATGTTCAGCCTCACCCGCCTTACCACGTCTACGCCGCCCGCATCGACTCGACCCGCGAGTTGACCAAGCCCGGCGCCGAGAAGCGCACCTACCACTTCGATCTCGATATCACAAGTTACCCGGGCGAGGAGGACATGGACTTCAGAGTCGGTGGTGCCATTGGTGTCATGGCACCCAACGATAAGGACTGTGTCGACGACGTTTTCGACGCCCTCATGGTGCCTCGGTTCCTTCGGGACAAGCCGGTCCTGATGAAGACTACCAAGGGCCGTTGGCCTACCGTGTGGGGTGACGACCAGGCCCGTGAGATGGTTACCACACGCCGGGACTTGCTTACCTGGTGCTCCGATATCCAGTCCTACCCCCCGACCAAGCAGCTTCTGCGCATTCTTGCCGAGTACGCCGAGGACGCCAACGAGAAGAAGCTGTTGACGTACCTTTGCGCCGCCGAGGGCCAGGGCGTCTTCTGCGATTTCCGCACCGGACCGCATGTCTCCCTCTCCCAGCTCTTGCATGCGTTCCCCAGCTCTCACCCGCCTATGGATCTCTTGCTGTCTTCCCTGCAGACATTGATGCCGCGCTTCTACTCCCTCTCCAATGACCCGCACGACGCATACAAGACGCGCGATGGCAAGGTGCACCGGCTGGTCGAGATTGCCGTCACGGTTCATGAGACTGCTGACTGGCGTCGCGGCCTCCGTACCGGCATCGGCTCCGGCTTCTTCGAGCGCCAGGCCCAGAAGTGGCTGGAGGCGAAGCGCAACGGAGAGACCCCAGAGATCTACATCCCCATGTTCAAGGGCCTCATGGCCAACCCTCTCGCCAAGCAATTCGTTTCCGACGGTCCCATGCTCCTTATCGGTGCCGGTGTCGGCATCGCACCGTTCAGAGGCTTCGTCCAGCGTCGCTTGAAGACGGCCAACTGCGCAAACAAGGTTTGGGTTCTTCAGGGCATTCGCGATTCGCTCGTCGACGAGATCTACAGCGGCGAGTGGGGCGTGCACGAGGACGAGGTCAAGCGTGTCGTCCAGAGCCGTCGCGGCGAGAGTCGTTATGTCCAAGAAGAGGTACGCAACCAAGCCGATCTGGTGTGGTACATAGCCAATGCCGTCGACGGTCGTGTCTTCGTGTGCGGCAGCACCAAGGGCATGGGCGAGGGTGTCGAAGAGGCTCTCGTCGATGTGGCCATGCAAAAGGGCAACCTCGAGCGCGAGGAGGCCAAGAAGTACTGGGATCTCAAGAAGGAGGCCGGCCAGTACATTGCCGAGACGTGGTAAGGTGCTGGTGGACGGGCGCACCCCGCCACTTTATAAGATGGGCACCCTACCTCCCAGAGTCCCCAAAAGTTCGCCAGTCCCGGAAGGATGCGAACTCGGGGATTTTATGGCCGGGGCGGGCTTACGGCTGACGCGGACGATCAATCGGTGCCTGGGCGCTGCTGTGCCCCCGAACTCGGACATAAACGGCTTCGGTCTCATCGGACGTAAGAGATTAAATGGCATCAGCCGCGCAAGGCGACCAAACCCCCCCCCCCCCCCCCCCAATTTAGGTCAAGGACCCCAAAACATATTAGGAGCATGGGGTTGTGGATGAAGAGGGAATGCAACCTCGTTAAAAAGGGCACAACCTAGACGGCGTTTCGGGGCGGATCAAGGGAATGATTTCTGACAACCAAAAAAAAGACATTGGACTGTCGCGAGACAGGGTTTTATTTTTTTCTTGTCATCTATGGCATGATGGTGTTGACGGGGTCAAAATGGGATTTCGGGACTGATCTTCTGTCCATTGACGAAGAGAGAAAGCATTCATTGGATTGCTTAGGCGTTTGTTAGTCGCAGCGTCTCTGGCAAGTATGTAGAATAGGCGATGGCTTTCACTGTAGCATTAAACAAATCGTTCAACAACCTAAAGCTGAGAAGTTTAGTGAGATCTAAGTATCGTGAGGTGAGGCCCTGAGTAAGAAGCCTTGATGGGGGGGGGGGGTACCTCCCTTGTTAACATGAGGAAGGCTATTGTTCTCATTGACGATGTAGAGGCTATTTTGAACCACGATGATCTATTGTGTTTATATAGGATGGCAAGATACAAAGGAAGCTCCTCGTTAACATAAGGTATGCTATTATGTTTAACTAAGTACTTGACTGGTCCTGTTGTTACTACTCCCACTGCCCTTTGTCAAGGCATGGCCGAGCTACTCATAATAGGGCTAACTAGTGCTCCTACATAAGCGAGATCATTGCTATAAGTGAAGATAACGAGTGAAACCACTTTGAACGCCTAAGAGAAAGTTAGTGATGGTAGGCTTTTGATGGGAGTACAGTACCTCTCAAAGACGTTCATACTCAATTTCAAAGACCCAAGGTAGCTAGCTATATTAGCATATTAGCATATCAGTATAAAGAACATTTCAGAGCGGTTAAAGTAAAGGAATTGTGTAAAGGGTAAAGGAAGCCCTTAAAGACAGCTCGATCTTTCACGGTGGTAACGCCTTAGAAGAACATTAAGATTGCTATTACTCTTACTGTCCTGATTCTCAAAGACATGTAGCAATCCACTAGGTTCCTTCTAACTCGAGTACGGATAGGTAGCTTACGATTACTAGGCGGTTATAGTGTGGAAGGGGCCGATTCACTTGACCCCGAAACTGTGGCTTCCGTACTATGTTCATTATTTACTTGCTATACCTCTTTCTTTCGCCTCTCTTGTACCTCACACCTCTTTTTTGTCTTCTTTATAGCTTTACGACTACAATGTAAAGGTACCTCAGTGTATGAGCCAATATATAGCCGCACGATAGGGACCGAGTCCATTCACTCCCATTGAATTTCCTCGAGATTTTCGTCGTAGTGCCCGCCCTTTGAAAGGTAAGTTGTTAAAGTAATCCTATAGTATCAAGGCCCTGTCAAGTACTCTCTTCCGCCTGTCCACAGTAGTTACAGCACGTTCGTGGACGAATACGAGCGAACGTAATAATAAAGGGGAGTGCCGAGTGATTTCCATCTCTTCTCATAGAATCTATAGAGGTGGGCCTGCTCCTTCTACGATCCCCCACCATCTACCACCACTACACCCGTTTCCATACCTGGGGCCGCGACGGGTCGCCGAGCATCGTCTGGTGGGCTCTCTCTCTCTCTCCCACAGGCCGAAGCGAATTCTCTTTAAATACTATTCTGAAAGACATGAACTATTACCCAGTAGCTGCATGACTGTACTCCGTAGTGGCTCTGGGAAAAGAGGCATTACGGGTGAATAATACCAGTCGAAGAAACTTGTACTTGCCGTTTCTCTGACATTACGCGTTCCTTGGCCACTTTCAGGAAGACGCAATACAAAGTCAACAATAGTCAAGTCGCAGGCTCAAGGCGAATAAGGTAGATAACCTTGGTCGTCTAATTACGAATAGATAAGACCGGAATTAAGAAAGTTGATTGCTTGGTCATGGACTCATGATGTATCCTTTGGCGCACCGCTCAACAAACATCGTCGTTGCTCCTTGCTGGGAAATCCAGTGTAAATCCGCGAACCGAACGGGGCGTGTAATTCCGTATTTCCGATCCATCTTCGCAACCACCGGGACGGAGGCATCTGAATATCGCCACCCCGCCGAACAGCAGCTCCAACATCCGGTACCGCCATCGAAACTGCTGCGCCGGTTCTACTGCTGCTGCCCCGGGTCCGGTTCGCGAAATCTTGGCGAAGAGGCGGCAGACTGGGCATGCCGTGATTCTCAACGGAAAGCCGAAACTTTCTACGCCGGGCACGCTCTCTTCCGGGGGAGGACATGTGAACTCGTCTCCGAAGTGGAGATGAAGGTGGATAATTCCCGTCGCAGACTGCCCACATTTCATGTGGGAACGTTGCCGTACTCTTCGTATGGAGTAGCCCGTCACCCGCGCAACGAACGGCGCCCATGGCTCCAGTGCGCCATCGCGATGGCTGGTGCTGGGCCGCTGGCGGGAGTAGTACCTTAGTGTAAGGTATCCGTAGTTCTGGCGGGGTGGGTTCTCGCGCGCGGTTATGGATCGCCTTTGGCTTATTCAGCTGCTTGTCATCGCGCGGGTGTGTGTAAGTGTGTGTGGGGGCCATCCTGCGCCCATGTGCTTCCAGGATAGCTTTGCTTGTTTGAGCGATGCGCTGGACTTTGAGTGAATTGAGTCGCGTAAGTATCTGATCGTAGCCATCCTTAGGGAACACTGGCGAGTTGTTCTTCCATTGTGCACTTGATCATCGTGATTGCTGGTTTGTAATTCAACATCAACCGCGCCGCGATATCGAGGCACGGATGTTGAAATTTCTTTAGACCGGTCAACGGTTGTCGTTGGGCTACCCGAACCGCGCGGGAACTTTTCCAGAAGGGGTCTCGGAGGAAATGCGGCGACTTTTCGATGCGCCTTTGGTGGCTCCTGCAGGACCCGATCTATCATCTGGGTTGCTTGTGGATACCCCCTTGGAGCACGTCGGCCCCGAGCTTCCAACGCGCGGGAAAGGCGAATTCACTATGCATGGGCTATGGAAGTGTTCCATTCGTTCCTCAGCAAGCAAACATATCAGTATTCTAGAATTTTCGTGACGGGCGTGGGCGCATGGGCGTTAATTCCTCTTTGCAATTCCCTTGCGGTGGGCGTTTGTCGAATCTGGATCGTTCCCCGATTCCCCGAGTACATAGGGAACCGGAACCACGACAACGGATAGCCATTCCTAGGTTCTTCACTGCTGCATTTGAATGAGAATCAGGGTACTCGAGGGGATCCCAACAAGCTTTGCTCTAGGTACCGGTAGCATGAATGGCGAGTAAGGAAGCTCGAATATGGTCGAGTCCCGAACAGGTGCTCCGTACTTGGTGCTCTTTCTTTGGAGGTCTCCGCGGGACGTTGCGCAGTTGAGGCACCGAGGGGAGACAGAAAGGTACCCCGCCAGCGGAATGATGTCAATTCTGTATCCGTGTACCGCCCGCTTAATCATCCCCGAATTACCCCAATCTGGACTAGCTGTGCTTAGTGACATGACAAATGCCATTCTTCAGCGAAATGTGACCGCCGTCGGCCATTGGGATCAAGAAAAAGATTCCGCTTCATCGCCGGTTTCCTTCCTGCGCTATCGATTGCGTATTCTCCCCCTGACCAGCCATGCCAGTCAGTCTCCAAGGTAAGGTACATCATGTTGGTGACAGGCGCCCAGTTGGATATCATTGGGTATCATTGGTAATCCGGTGCATACTTGATTACCACACCATTTGCTCAGCGGCCGGGTTCCCAAAGCACGCCTTTGACGCTCGAGCACCTCAGTCAGGGGGAGAGGCCCCATCTGATGATCGGGACGCGCTGAAGGAGGGGGGGGCAGCCCGGATCCGTGGCATGGAGGGGCAGAGAAGCGGGCACCTTGGACTTTGTAGCTCTTTGGCGCAGCTGTTTGCTACGGTTGCTAGGTGTTACTGTCGATGTGGGGACGAGGGGAGGGGAGGTTTCCAACAGGTTCTGAGACGCTTTGCGGGAGAAACCCCAAAGGCGGGATGGGAAGGTATCCGTAGCGCAAGTAGCTATTGTGGTTCCCTCCCCTCCTCCTCCCTCTCTCCCTCGGTATATAACCAGACGAGACGATCTCCCCTACCCCTCCCTCCCCCTCCTTCTCCCTCGGTATATAACCCATCGAGACGCCCTCCTCCATCCCGAACATCTGAAAGAAAGAAGAGCCATGATCAGCATCACCAGAACAGCAATCCAAGCATCAAAGAGACTCTCCACCCTCCGTCCGCTCACCACAACCATCACAAACAAACACCAACCACTCACCAGAACCTTTACATCAACAACCACCGCCAAAATGTCCGCCCCCAGCGCAAACCTCATCCTCGACGCCGTCAAGGCCCGCCGCACCTACTACCCCCTCTCCAAGACCCTCCCCATTGAAACCGCCCGCGTCGACGAAATCGTCAAGACGGCCCTCGCCCACGTCCCCTCCTCCTTCAACTCCCAATCCAACCGCGTCGTCGTCCTCCACGGCGCAGAGCACGAGAAGTTCTGGGACATTGCCCTCTCCGTCCTCAAGGCCATCGTCCCCGCCGAGCAGTGGGAGTCCACCAGCGGCAAGCTCAACATGTTCAAGGCCGCCGCCGGCTCCGTCCTCTTCTTCGAGGACCAGGACGTCGTCAACGGCATGCAGGAGAAGTTTGCCCTCTACGCCGACCGCTTCCCCATCTGGGCCAACCAGTCCGACGGCATGCTCCAGTTCGCCATCTGGACCGCCCTCGAGGCCGAGGGGCTCGGCGCCAACCTCCAGCACTACAACCCGCTCGTCGACCAGCAGGTCGCCGCCGAGTGGAAGGTCCCCGCCAGCTGGAAGCTCAACGCCCAGCTCGTCTTTGGCGGCAAGACGGGCGAGGCTGGTCCCAAGGAGTTCAAGCCCATCGAGGACATCTTCAAGACTTTCAGCTCTTAAGATTGTGCGCACGTCTCTAGAAAACCTTGCGAGTTTAGAGAAAAGGAGAAAGTCAGTGGAGGAAACACACACACACACAACCACATATAAAGCTGCATCTGCTGGAGTTTTTGGTCCCGCTTTTTGGCTATGTAGACATCGTTAGCGATGGACTTTTGTGATGAATTTAATGCATTGAATGATTGTAACAACTGTTGTTCAAAATCCTTCCAAAAAAAAAAAAGTGCATGTAAGTGAGACGGGATCGATCGGCGTCACGCTGACGGAAGCCAATTGAATCGATCGACGTGAAACAAGCATCTGACGCCACGCGCCGGAGGGATTCAAACCGCATTTGGAGACCTTCTGGTGAGCTCTGCTGAGATAGTACCACTTCATGCCGCGGACAATGTGAGACTAACCCAATAAGATAAAAATGAGTTCTCCGTATTTTGTTATTCATGGCGACGCTTCAAGTCGATTGTGGTTATATGTGTACATGGACATCCGTCCTATTTAGACAAAGACATCTTTCTCTCACTCCTCTTCAATGAACCCCAAAGCCTGGCCCATCCGGACCGTCTGGCCCTTTTCAACAGCCCACCTCCAGCCAGACTTGTCATCCGGCGTCTTGCTCCCGGTTGGCGCCTCAAACACCAAGACGACGGTGCTACCGAGCTGGAAGCCACCCATCTCCTCGCCCCTCCGCAGAGCATGGCCACCGAGCACGGGACTAGCCGAGGCATACGTCGCCTCCGCGAATCCCGTGTAGGGCTCGCCGCGGGCCGCAGCCTCCTCCGCAGCACGATCGGCCGCCGTGTCCGTGGTCAAGCTATTGGTGCGCAGCTCACGATCAAAGTTGATCTTGATGGATCCCACGTTGGTGGCGCCGACGGGGACGTAGCTGAAGAATCCGTAGCGCCAGCGACCGAGGAGAACGACGCGCTCGTTGAGGGTGAAAAGACCGGGCAGCGTGCGCTGGAGGTAAGGGGAGACGCTGTAGAGCTCGCCGGCGAAGTGACGGCGGCGTTCGACGACCCAGTTGGCGGGTGAGTGGAAGCGGTGGTAGTCTCCGGGGGCGAGGTAGATGACAGCGTAGTACAGAGACGTCTTGTTGTCGGGCGAGATCAGGTCGTACCAGGGCTTCTCGCCGAGGGCGAGGTCGGCACGGACCTCGGAGACGGCAGACGGCGAGGGGGGTTCGACGGCCTCGTCTTTGAGAGAACCCTTGCGCTGCGACATGGCCGCGCCCGAAAGGAGGCTGGGTACGGTGTAGGAGATGCCGTTGACGCGAGCGAACTCCTCATCCGTCTTGACGAGGTCCTCGCTGGGGGAGATGCTGGCCTTGTCCGCCTCGGCTTCCTGAGGGGTGGACCATCCGCTTGCGATGCTTGATGTAGGCGTGTTCTTGCCGAGGAGTGCGTCGATGCTGTATGTCATGCCTTTGACCTGCTCAATGTCTCCGCCTTCAATCTGGCCATATTGCAAGACGCGGCCATCGGATGGCGAGAGCAGGGCGTTGGAATCCGGGTGGAGGGGACGGGAACCGGGCTTGAGCTGGCGGTAGAAGAAAGAGGCAAGGTTCGGGTACGTTCGCAGGTCGGGTTCGGCGACTTCGTCCAAGCTGTCGGGGTAGGTTAGCATACAATGACGGCCAGACTCATGCTTTCGAAACTCACTTGACGCCAAAGATCCATGAGTAGAGCTTGAAGCCGGGAACACGAAGGTAGTAGGGAATAGTCAATTCGTTGAAGCGACCCCAGAGCCTTGAAATCGCCTTCAGGGGCAGCGTCGACATGACCTGGACCTGCCAAGGTCCATCAGGCCTGATCTTTGCGCGCTTCTTGGGCGGCACGCCATCCTGGACGTCGTCCCTCTCCTGCTTCTCGCGCTCGCGGGTCGAGACCTTGTAGAACTGGACCAGACCCAGGAATCCGATGCCCAGGCCTACGGGGATCTGGTACCACTGCACTTTGCTGTTGTTGAGGGCGTGCCGCAGGCGGGAGGAGAAGCGCGGGCGCTGCTGCTGCTGGGAGAAGAATCGGGTCGAGGCGCATGGGCTGTGGAGAGGAGAGAAGAGGTTGGTGGCCCGTAGCTGGCTCTGGCGAGCGTACAGCGTAGCCATGACGCTTATGGGACCTCAATCGGAAGTTTGCGATTATTCGAGGCCACCGGGCTTTTGGCTGGGGTTTGCGGGGACGAGCAATGGGCCAGACGATGACAGTTTGGATGAGCAGGCGTCTTGCGATAAGATCTTGCAGCTCGGCAGCGGCAGCTTTGGGATGACGCAGCACGAACCATCCAAGGGCGCTAGTCTCATTTGGGCAACTAGCAGCAACGTCCTTTTGCCGATACATTGAGATGACTTGGAGCACACTGAATACCGAGGAACAGCATTTCATCTTTTGGAAGTGGTCGAGAAGATTGTTTTGAAGCATGTCGGAATGAATAAAGACTGTATTCAGGTCGAACATGGAAGCCATCAGTCTCACAAAGTAGTTCCGGCTGTCTTCCTTACGAAGGTCGCCATTCATACTTCTCATCCTCGAGAGACTCGACTCTCCATCTTTCTCTTACCTTTTTGGGGTGTAAGCCATACCAAGGCGGAGGAAAGGGAGATATTGAAAGTCTCGTGTTCCTGTGACCATGGCTTTCTTTAACCCCTTGGAGCGCTAACATTGCCACTATCAGTGCCACACAGCTCATACTCAGACACACAAATCTTGGGAGGAAAATCTAGAAATACCACAGGAAACAGAGTGATAGGAAAGCAAGCCTGCCAGCAGTGAAAGCCTCACAAAAGTAAAAGAACCGCCCTTCCCATAAGGTAAGGTAGTATCCGTAATGACTGAGTGATCAGATGCATCCCACCTTCTGGCTTACATAATCGGGCTGTCACCACCCGCCCGATTGGGACAGCGTGCATGGATCGAGCCTTCCGGTTCCCAGGGACGGACTACGTACCCACGTTTTTAGTGAGGCCAGCGGGTCCGTACCTGAGCTGGAGAGTCTGCAGTCGGAGAGCAACACATGTCCTAAATTTCCACGTCTACGAACGACACGGTGACATGAGCATCGTCTCCTTGCGCATACACCACCGCTCCTTTCCCGTGGAAGATCAGACGAAGCTGCCGCGTCGCGCTCTGCGTGGCATGACCGATAGGCCTCATCATGGCCTCTGAAGCCTCGTCTTCCACCGCGTCCTCTGCGCCAGAGGCTACTTCTGAACACCTGTCCGTAAACCTGCAGGTACTGTCGCCATCCACAGCGGCCAGTTCCAGTCGACCCTTGGTTTTCCCTGGTCTCGTCGCCACCACAACCGTTCGACAGCTCAAGGAGAAGATTCGACAAGCGCTCCCTCTCAAGCCGACCGATGCCCAGCAGCGACTGATCTATCGGGGTCGACCTTTGGCGCAGGATGGGGACACTCTTCTGACCGTCCTCGGCGAGGAAGTCGTGAGTCCACCTGCTCTGCTGACAATTGCACCCATTGCTGACTGACTTGGGGACAGATTCGCACTACCGACCAGCAGACAATCCACCTCGTGCTTCGAGACGTCGCAGAACCGCATCGCTCCACGACTCCGACACCGGCACTTGCTCGAGGGTCGAGCCCGGCGCCGCCCGCTGCCCATTTCCCAAGCCCCTTTGGCACCACCGGCCAGCCTCAACATGTCCATCACCATGGCAGTCAGCCTACGGCCGCAGCCTTTACGAGACGAACGCCGCTGCACCCGACATCGAACCCTTTACCGTTCCCGGCACCACCCCAGATACCAGCGAACTTGACTCTGCAGCAGCTCCAGCAACTGCAGGCGCAACAGCATCAGAGCATGACGGCATGGATGAACGGACTTCAACGCGAGGCCATGAACAGGGCCATGGCCCACCAGCAGATCAACCAGAATCAGGCTATGAGAGCGTCTATGGGCATGCATGGCGTTGGCGACACACCGGCGGCGGCCCCCAATCCTGCGGACCCCACTCGTGGACGGGCCAGCCCGCTTAGCAATCCAGAAGGGCACACGTATGTGCGAGAGGGCCTTATGCCGAACGGACAGACATATCGCGTTACAGTCAATGAGAGCTTTCTCGGGGGTCAATTGAATGTTCAGCAGCCGGGCAGTCAAGGTACCTCGACGCCTTTGTCTCCTGCTGACGTCCAGACCATCTTGAGGGCAGCTGACAGCACTCAAGCAACATTGGCGATGACCAACGCGATGCAGAGGAGCGCCTCAAGCACATCTCTCGCCAATGGAGGCTCCTCCGTCGGCGTCACTACTCCTTACTACCCAACCCCTGGATCCAGAGCCAGTAGCAGGAGGCCTACCCCTGACCCAACGGCTCGCTCAGTCAGCGGCGGCAGCAGACATTCTGCGAACGCTCAACAGCAAGCACAGTCCGGCCCTGAGGTGTACATCTTGTCTTCGCCTCAGGGTCCTCGTGCTCTACTGATCAACAACGCCACGGACTCGTACTACACTCCGAGAGGGCAACCCCATACTACCTCAACTCTTCACCAAACCGCCTCTGCGCTCGCGAGAATGCGAGGTCGTCCTCAACACGTCGCCTGGCCAGGAGCTTTTGTGACTCCGCCGCCTCATCACGAAGGACAGCAGCCAGCCCATCAAGCAGAACCTCATCCGCAGGTGCAACAGCAGCAGCCTGAGGAGCAACCACCCATGCATCAGCCTCAGGGGCAGCCGGCGGCAGCAGCAGTGCCAGCGCACCCCAACAACGGGGGAATTGCTCCGCTGATTGCGCAAGTGTGGCCGCACTTCTGGCTGGTGGTTAGGCTCTCCCTCTTTGTGTGGTGGTTCACTTCGCCCAACGCAGGCTGGTCAAGGTGGATCACTGTGATTTCAATCGCGATCAGTATCTTTGTTCTAAACACTGGACTTCTAAACAACTACTTTGACCAGGCTGTGGGACCAGTCAGACGTCATATGGAGAATCTGCTACCCCTGGCTGCGCCGAACAACGCAAATGAGCCTGTCCGTCCCCGAGACGATCAGGCGGTGGTTGGACGCGATGGTCAACCTGATCCGACACGGGCAGCTGCCAGGCTGGTAGCTCAGCGCAGACACGACAATGCAAATTGGTTGATGGACCAAGTGCGGCGGCTCGAGAGAGCTGGCCTCCTCTTCCTGGCTAGTATTGCACCAGGTGTCGCGGAGCGCCACATTGCTCACCTTGAGGCCGAAGCCCGCGCCGAGCGTCAGAGAAGGGAAGAAGCGGAGGCCGCTGCAGCCGCTGCGGCAGAGGCCGCCGCGAATCCTGAAAACACGGAAGCTCAGAACAATGATGAAACGAATGAGACATCAGGACGCAACGACACGGAGGAGGGCGAAAATGAGGCGCAGAGAGAGACGCACGGAGGAGACCAGCGGCGGGCGGAAGAGCAGCAGCCGTTGTTGGCGCTGTAAAGGGGACAAGACCCAAGTATCGAATGAGATGAGGATGGATCGTTGTGCAATGCAGATTACCCAGCGGACGCTCCAAGGACGTCCCTTAGCGCATGGAGTCGGGTGTAGAGCGTTGACATCGGGACTCACATCATCAATGCATATTGTTTTAGTTCAGCGTCAAAATCAATTTGTGTTCTATTATGTTGGGGGCGTTTCTGTCGAGACCAGTCTATCTACGCCGTGGATGTAACCATTATCGAATTCGTTCCAATGTTCTTGTGTAAGTCAATCTATGAAAGTCATCATCGGGGGTTGAGTTTTTGATTTCTTCATGGGCCGACACGATTGATTGTGAAGGCCGCCTAGTATAACTCAACTCTCTTTTTTCTACGCCCCGAAGTAATATCTCTTTTACATGGAAGCCTCGCCTGAAGTCATTTTTGTCGGTCTTCCTCTATGGTAGGCTCCGAGATGCTTAGCAGTAGAGGAAGAGTAGTCGGTGGTCGTCAGTTTCGGTCTCTTTTCGTTGCGGTTCTCTTCTCTCCGTCCTTTTTTGACATCCAGTCTTCGTTTCTCGTCAGTCGTGGGGTTGACAGCCGGCCTTCGTGTTTGAGTCGGCGGTTGGATGTAGGGCCGAGAAGATGCTTCTTGCTCTGATTATCGTATGTTGTTGTTTCTTCTATCGTTTTCGTTTTCTCTCTCCTTATTTGGAAATTTTGTTTTCTGCTGTTCTTCTGATTTCCACTCTTCTTTTTGTCGAATCGGTACGGGCACAGGGGAACAGAATTTCGAGATAGTTCCCCCCCCGCAGACCGGCTTGAGCTGCGATATGATGTGAAGCTTCGAGTCCCTTTTTTCTGCTCTGAGCTAGCGGTCGTGTAATATCTAGAAGCAGAACCAAGAAGCTTCTTTCGTTGTTTTTCGCAACGTCTTTTTTGATGGTTCTTTTGTGTTTTTCTGCTGTTTTTGTGATTTTCGTCTTTTCTTTATTCTTTCTTCTTTCTTCTTTATATCGTATACATATCTGGATGGGCTCAGGGGAACAAGGTATGGTTCAATCCCCTGGTGCAGACTGATCTGCGCTGCACTGTTGTGTGCGAAGGCTCCGAGTTGCCGTGTTCTGCGAATAGCAGACCTTGAGTCTGCTTTTTGGAGTTTGCGGCGTCGAGCTTTGCTAGAGCTTGATGCGATTCCAGGCTCAAGGCAATGACGATGACGATGCCCCTGTATTCGGGTATACTTCGTGGATGCGTCTCTAGACGTATGCTCGAGGTCTGTTATCGTTGTTGTCATTGTCATTGTCATTGTAGTTATTCCCGCTTTTCGTTTCTAATCGTTATTATCTCAAACGATAAGAAAGTTCCTCATCGTTCTCGACCTTAGGCGGAGGTAATGTCGGTCTTGCTGCGTCAATGGGTGGGCGCATGGTACTGTCTCGACGCTCTCAATATAGTCTATTACAGCGTTTGTCGTATGGGGTTGCCCGGTGGGAGAGAGAGAGGCGAATTCAGACAGCTCTCTGCTTGCCCTTAACCTTCCTCAAGCCCCAGCCGCTTCGTCCATCAACGACCAAGGGCCCACGTCTGGCGGGGGGCTGAGCAGGAGTCTCTTCTTCGTGTGTCTCCCCCACAGGGGCCGGAGTGTCTACCTCCTCAGAGGGCGTCTCTGGAGTTTGCTGCTCCACGGTAGAGAGCTCTTCCTCCTCATCTTCGGAGTGTTCCTCCTCCTCAGGGTGCGCCTTTGGAGTCTCCTCTTCAATGGTGGACAGCACTGCGTCCGCCTCTTCCTCAGAGTGCTCCTCAGAGTTATGCTCAAGGGAAGGAGGGGTGACGTCGCCAGCCACGGAAGCCGGTAACTGCCTAGGCGACGAATGAGGGGTGGCTGCTTCGGAGGACTGGTCAGTCGGGCTCGGGCTGGGCGGTCTATTAATATCGCCCGCCCAGCTGGCGCTGTCGTCGTTTCCGTCGCCGAGATCGATACCGCCATTCTCGGGGCCGTTGTCGATGGCGTCTTGGATGTAATTATCCAGAGCGTTGGTGGCGCAGCCGCCGCTGCTGCTGCTGCTGCTGCTGCTGCTGCCCTCGCCGTTGCCATTGTCGTTCCCGTTACCATTGGAGCTGGCGGTGACGTCCCCGTCGTGTAGGTAATGACATCCCGGCTTCTTGCAGTTGCGGCCGTGCCAGCAACGCGTGGTACTGTGGTCCTCTTTCGAGTCTGTGACTGAGGCGGGAGCGGTGTTGGGGACGGGTGCTTGTTCAGGTTCAGGCTCAGGTGAGGCGGCGGCAGCGGCATCCGCGGGCCAATGCTCTGGTTTGGCGGGAAGGGGAGGGAGAGGGAGGCCATATCCCTGTCCGGGCTCGAAATCCGGAGGGGGAGCGGGAGCGGGAGCGGGATCCCAGTAAGGGACGAAGCCCGTCGGTGGGCCGGGGGGATGATGATGATGATGATGATGATGATGGAACTGAGGTGGACCCCAGTTCGCGCCCGCGGGATAGTAGGGTGGCGGGCCGGGCGGGAAGGGTCCGGCGTAGCCTTGTCTGTGGACGATGTGTTGCGGACTGTAGGGTCCTGGGGGAGCGTAGGCCGGCGGGGGTACGGGTTGCGCGGGTACGAGGGCCGGCGGCGGCGAGTAGTAGGAGCTGCGCTGCCCGCGAGTACCGTCGAAGTTTACTGGTCCCAGGGTGTTGGGCATGGGATTGGCGATTTGTGCGGTGTGATACGCAATGGCCTGCTGGTTAGGGCCCTCGAGGTTTGGCCTGCGCGCGATGTTGGGCAGGGGGGGTTGGGTGTAATATCCCATGTAGCGAGACGGCGCCTGGTTGCATGCGCCGCCGCTGCTGCTGTTAGCGTAATCACCGTGGCTAACGTAATTGCCGTGATGGTAAGTGATGTTGCCGTTGTTGTTGTTGTTGTTGTTGTAGAAGACAGGAGTAAGTCTTGCTCTCGCCTGTAACTCTTCCTCCAGCTGCCGTGCTGCTTCCACCAAGTAGACGGGCAACTCGTCTTCTCTGTGGGGGAAATTGCAGGCGTCTCTTCCGTAATTACAGCGGGCGCCGAGGTAGTGGCGGCAGGTTTTTCTCTGTGCCTTGGGCATTCTGCTCTGGCAGATCTTCTGCTTCTTTGGCGAGGACGCCTTGTCATGATTGTCGCAGTCCATCTTGGTTGAATTGAGAAGGGAAGGACGGAAAAGGAAAGTGGTAATACTTGTACCTGGAAGAAGAAGAAGAAGAAGAAGGGGATTGAATGTTTGTCTACTTGAGAGGATTGGTAGTCGAGAGAGGGATGGGAGGTGCCGTAATATGGTAGTTGGGAGAGGATGCCGGAGATAGGTGGTATTTCTACTGGGGACCCTGCGGCGCTGGCGGCGTGGGTTACGTTGGTGAATATGGATCGGAGATGGGATAGAAAGGAAGAACGGGTGGATAGTGGATCACGTTGTATCGAAAATAGCTTCACCGCAGTGTATCGGAGATGGTTATGACTCTGGGAGACGGGGAATATTGCCGTCCTGTTCTGCAACGTCAAGGACTCACGAATCGGCCTTGGGTCAAAGCCATCATGGCTTGCCCTTCCGCGTGGAAGGGTTCGTCCATCACACTCACCAATTATAATGACTCCGCACAATTGAATGGCACATGTGTAATTCGTATGGAATACTCAAAGTTTGGGAGTGAATCACAGCGTGTGGAAGCAAACACAACGGGACTGTGGTGGTTGTTGGTCTCGGTACTAACAGGGGGGCTTGGTAAAACTTTACCGCCAGAAAACTAAAGGCTTTGACGTTGACACCCCATGAACAAACAAGCAACAGTGACAGATTGAAAAGGCGATCGTCATGGTAAATTTGATGCGGCCCCCATTACGTGCTGTTGCAGAACATAGTCATTCACCGTCGTGGTAGATGTCATGTTCAGTCCAGACGATGAAGAACTTTACGGGACGGGCGCGAGGAAGTAATCCGGTAGTAAAAAGTGGACCCGAAAAACATGTCTCCCGTCCGGCCGATCTCCCGCACCGGAGCAAAGTGGAGTCGAAGGACAAGGTGGATCCACCCGGCCCTACGGGCGGGGGGAGCACGGGGGTCCCAAACCTGCCCAAGTTGACGTGCTGAGTAAGGTAGCATCGCAGGTAGCGGGCAACCACGCAATCCACTCCCACCGACACCGACATCCCCGTGCCCCGATTAGCGACTGTGCGCGCCGCCAGCCCAGCGAGGACGGAGGGAGGAGGCGTTCGGGTGCGGCGCCGTTCGAGGAATTTCTGACATGAACTTGACAGGTATGGTGGAATTCGAGGGCGCTGACAATGGTCTGGCGGCGGGCCGTGAGCAGGATTGATTTTATTTCTTTTTTCGAGCCATCTCCCCTCCCCGTCCCTGAAGCTCTTCATCACGGAGGTCTCGGACCCGATCACGGACAGGAAGGGGGACGATGGAACGCACCTACACAGATTTTGACGATGCCGGGTGCCGAGAGTCGGGAGATACGAAGATGGGAAGGATTGCCTCAAGCTTGGGCGTTTGGCGCGTGGGCAAAACCCGTCGCAACCGTCTCCGGGCACTGGAGGGAATGAGCATGGTTATGGTAGCAGCATGAAGATTCGGATGCAAAAGGGGAAATACGGCGCATGACGATGGTCTGCGCGTTACAGTGACAGGACGGGGGTTGTATCGCTGGACGACCGCGGCCAATGGGGGAATACCAACTAACCCCTGAGAGAATGATTCTTGCGTCAGGTCCGTTGCCCATCCCCGAACGCAAACAAAGAATGCCATTATTGAACCGCGGTATTTGGTTAGTCGAGTAATAATGAGACACGCAGATTCCCTTTGCTCACCTACTACTTTAGGTATGGGGCCCCGGGCAGGGAGGAATTGCGGCTGAGCACGGCCGGCGGCTTCGAGACGAAAGGGGCACCTTTTTTTGGTGGTACAAAGGACGGCCAGAGCATGAAACCCCAATGCGAATCTCTGTCGAAGGTTGAAACTAGCAGGCTGCGCCAGGCCTGCCCAGCCACCCTGCCATTCCAGTGGCCCCCTTGCCCTTCTTTGGAAGGGCTCTCATTCGTCGGACCTTGACTTTTGACCTAGGGTTGGCGGGTTGGCGGGCGGGTTGGTCCTTGACCTAGCATGGCTTAGGCTTAACCGCCCGGACGGGTGGTTAATGCATGCCTTGTTCAGTCGTCGCTGTGTTCATCGTTTGTTCCTATTGTCGTGTCTTGCGAGTAAGTCGACTGATAACGGAAACAATGGCAGCGAAGGACGTGCGAAAAGGGGGCTTGCCCAGGGCGTTGGATGTTGGATGGACGGTCCCGGACGGCGGGCAAGTAAGGGAGATTTCGTTAGCGTACCTACTTTGTAGATGTAACCGTAGGAGCTCCCGGGAATATCATCAGTAGTCAATCGAGGTTGCACAAACCCCGCAGACTTGATGAGCAGGGAGAAGAAAGCAGGTCGTGGGCCAATATTTTGCTCAATGCTATCCGTAGAAAGGTGCCCAGTTATGCAGTGGTTGGCTGATGTTTTGCCAGCCTCCCACAACCTCCGCACGCTTGGCTGCATACTCCAACCAATTCACGGTGAGGAGGATGCCCATGGTCGGTGGGCTCCCGTCAGTCTCCGGTGGTTCACCGTTCCAGAGCTGCCGGACGGACGATTGCTGCAGATTCATCGGGCCCCTCGGCGTGTTATGCGTCTTTGATCCTTCCAACCTCCGCCCGCCCAGAGCACGTGCGTTGTCCGTACGAAAAGACATGGCATCCGTTCCTGAAGAACCTGGGAATAGAAGGTATGGATACCTGGAATGAATGAGTGAGCGACAGATTTGCTGGACAGCCCACTTTTGCGGCGCAGGTACACGACAGTTGGCGGGTGGGGTTATAGGAAGGTCAGGTACCGAAGCCAACAAGGCACGAGATGGCAAGATTTCAAGATGGGAGAAGACCAAGATGGGAGAGATCATACGGATACCTAGATGGGAGATGCTGGACGGGGGGGGGTATGGAGCTGGGACCCGTCAGTCAGCGTCATCCAGGTGTGAGAGACCCGTCAATGACTGGGAGCGGCGACTCCGCAGTACGAAGATGGTCCCCGCCACCTGTTAGCATACTGCTAGCAATACACCCTGAAAACGTAAGCAAGACTCTAACATGATCCGGACATTCCCCGTGTACGTACCGTAGCCCCTGACCTGCTTCTACCTTGTCCTTCCACTGCCACTTCCCAGTCGCCCCGTCTTCTTCGTCCTGCAGTCCCGGGCGGTGCCAGTTGCGAGTGACCTCTTCCCGGAGCAGGTAGTCCTGTTACTGTTAGTGCTAGTAACAGTACTCCGTAGATGCAGACATCTTGGCGTTCTTTCGATACACTACAAGCCAACACTTGACAGATTGATTGACGGGAATCGGCAACGCCCCAAACCCTCGCTTGACTTGTTATTGCTTTTTAGACCTTGTTGTCCACGGTCCAGTATTGAACCTTCTTCCTCCTACTCAACCGTATTGAGGAATAAACCTACCTCAAGACCACCACCACCACCACCAACGCAACGCACACAACGAAGGATATACGTACGCATTATCCGTACTTGGTACCAAACCACCGGATTGCGTGTGCAGCCCTTCGCTCACACCTTGCTTTTATTTTTATTCTTTTTTTTTCTTTCCCTCATCCCCCCTCTTTTTTCATCTCAACTCTGAATTCTCTCCCCCATTTAATCTCTCCCTACGCTGCCTCTAGGCTCTCGAAGGCATCGTTCGGATACTTGATCCCCCGGTCCATTCCCCCTACGTGACCAACCTATCTATCTACCTTGTCCAAGTACCTTGCTTTTCAATAGTAAAAGGTGCCTAGTTACGGTAGTCATCCATCGCCCTTGAGTAGCCCGGGCAGCAAAGTACCGACTCCCTTTGCGCTGCTGCCGCCTTACGTGCTTACCTACATTAAAGTACCTTTCCCCAAGTTGTCTGCGCCGCACGCCCAGCTGAGAGCCTGAGAGAGAGGAGAGAGGGGACCCGCCACAAACAAGAGCAGCCCATGCCCCATCGACCTGCGACTTGGGTCAGTCGGAGAACTGTGGCAACGCAACCACTCGCCCTGCTCGCTGCTCTCCCACCGTCGTAGCGGTGCACAACCTACCGCCCGACCACCTCTAGGTACCTCACCTCACTCCAAGACGACGACAACGCTCGTCTGACCTTGCCGACCGACGCTACCGTACCGACCTTACCTGCCCACAGCACTCCGTACGCCTACCCTCCCTCACCTTACGCTCACGCCTACGCCGACCGCCCGCGCCAACCCAACCCAACTTGTCCCAAACCAACAACCAACTCTTCGCATCTCATTCAATCCCAGCCAATCTCTCTCTCTTCGCACCGTCCGTCCGTCGACGACGACCTTCCTTTATTCTTTTGCCATTTCCACTTAATTCTCTCGTCGCTTTCTTCCTTCTCATCGCCTGCTTCCCGAGTGTCGATTTGCCCGCGAATGCTGCTTTCGCGGCGGTGACGCCAGCCGTCCCTCCTCTCGACCGACCGATCCCACCTCGCCTCTCTTCTCACGAGTCAACCCCCCACGAACGACGACCGACCGATTGACCGGATTGCATCGACAAACGTCGTCGCCTGCCCACCATGGCACCATCGGCCCCATCATCGGCCCTGAACGGCGTTGTCATCGGATTACTGTCCTCCTTTGGTTCCGCCGTCCTTATCGCTCTCATCTTCCTCGTCATCTACTTCTTCAGATACACGGCCAGCGGCCGCATCTTTCTCGATCGCATCGGACGACCCGGCGAATATGACGACGAGCAGGCTTTCGCCCGGGAGGAGGCTGAGGCTCTCGAGTCCATGGACGATATGCAGAGGACCGAGTACCTCAGGGCAAAAGGTAGGCTTCGTATTGCCCTTACCGCGATATCCGCACACGACTAACCAGACCCCGTCGTAGCATTCATCCAAGCGAACCCTCCCGAATCCGTCCAAACCGACATTTCTCTATCGCAATACCTCGCCATCCAAGAAAAGGGTGTTTCCGCCTGGGAGTTTGAACCCGAGCTGGAAATCGCAAACTGCTTCGTCGAAGGCCGCACCGAAATTGAGTTCTTCGACTCCGAATGCACCGTCATGAGCAATCTGCCCGTACCCAAGCAAAACGAGGTCTACTACTGGGAAGCCAAGATCTACGATAAGCCCGAAACTACCCTCCTCAGCATCGGCATGGCCACAAAGCCATACCCGTTGTTCAGACTACCAGGTAGGGCATTCCAGCCCCTCGCCGCAACCGCATGACGCTAATCATCCAGGCTTCCACAAACATTCCGTAGCATACCTGTCAGCAGGCCAGCGCCGTTGCAACCAGCCATTTGCCGCAACTCCTTATGGACCTCAGTTCGTTCAGGGCGATGTCATTGGCGTTGGCTATCGTCCTCGGACGGGCACCATTTTCTTCACCCGCAATGGTAAGAAGCTGGAAGATGCCGTTCACGGTGTAAAGTCGCAAAACTTCTTCCCTGCCATCGGGGCCAACGGGCCCTGCATCGTTCATGTCAACTTTGGTCAGGCCGGCTTCGTCTTTATCGAGGCCAACGTAAAGAAATGGGGCCTCGCCCCGATGACGGGCAGCCTGGCACCGCCGCCACCGTATGGCTCTGAGCAGGGCGATATCCTGCTGGAGGCTGGACGCAAGGACGCGTACACGAGCAGCGGCGGCGGACAGCAGCGGGGGCACTCCCAGACGCATTCCTACTCACAAAGTGGCTTGGGACCTCAGCATGGGCGGACGAGAAGCGGAAACTTCAGAGTACTTCCACCGAGGAGCCCCGGTCCCGTAAGAAGCCCGACTGACATCTCCCTGACGCACTTTGTGCCCGACGATGAGGGCGGCGAGCCAAGCAGCAGCATCAATCGCGGGCACGAAGGGCAAAGCGTCGTAGGGCTTGGGCTTCAAGACGCCTTGAACCCGCCACCCGAGTATACGAGCCCCGACCACTCGGAGGCCGGTAGCCGTCGGAACAGCACAGACAGCGAGAATACACCGTTGATCCGCGTTCTTAATCGGAGCCGAGGCGCCTCGGCAGCCGCTGCCGCCGCCGGACCATCGCACCCCCCGATACCCAGTTACACCGATGCGGTGAGAGCCGGCGCCGGGCGGGAGGGGAACAGCACTCCGCGATCCAGCAATCGACGCGGCAACCGGTCGAGGTCACAGAGCGCGCAATGATGTTTGAAAAACTGAAATCTTGCTGGGCAGGACGAAACGGTACCATACCCCCGAAGCATCACAAATAAGGTAGGTAGCCTGGACACACGGAGTTGAGGACGGCGGAACAGGGCAAGCTGTCATAATGTGGAGTTTGGGGGACCTCGCAGTCAACGTCGAGAATCAGCCCCCGAACCCGGCGAATTTTGGAGTTTGGCATTTTGGAATAGACGGGATGCTGGTTTGGTTTTCCCAAAGGGGATAACGGGATGGGAAGGGTCCTTTTTCTTTTTTTTTCTTTTTTTTTGTTTGTTTTTTTTTGTTAACGTGGTTGGTCCCGGCCGCGAGCGTCATGATACCTTTGGACCACACCCGCATCGAATCGACGCGCATATCTACTCTCTCTCTTTTTCCCAGGTTCAGATTTGTGTGTGGTGGTCTTAGCCTCCCACCCGTATCTGTTCCCGCTCCGAATGTACGAAGAACCACCATCACCCCCCAAAAAGTAGGAGTCGCAAGGAGAGTCTTCCGCGTACCCGACAATAGGGCCACGGAGAATATACATGTACACAGGCATATACTGCATCAATCATACCAACCTTTGTGCTGTCCAAATTGCCTCGTCCTCCATGCCGTACGCTGGTGCGCTGATAACCGTAACGAATGATGTAAAGAGACCTGACTGCGCCACCGACAACGGAGTAAAATCGTCATTTCTGTGTAAGTGAGCCAAAACAAGATCGAGAGGTTCCCCCCGAGTCAAGGTCATTGGGGTGGGACCATTGTTCATGACGCAAGGGAAGCGGGAATTTAGACTTTGGGGTAAGTAAGGTACTCCGTAGGTAGGTAAGTAATTATTCCCTGCTTGTGCATGTCAGCTTTGCACGTGCAATGGGCTCCTGCCAATGGGCATGCACCAACCCAATAACCAAACACAGACTGGCGCTCGATTTTGATTCGTCGGAGGAAATGACCACCAAAAAAACCAATGTGGGCAGTTCAACATCGTGAGGTGTAGAGTATGAAGGAAACAAAAGGGTGGGTAAAAAAGACATACAACACCAGGTATTCGCTGGTCGTCACCGACCCAACTACTAATCCGGCCCTCATTGGCTTATCTATGGGAGAGCGGACGGGATCCCGAGTTTTCCAATGGGTATGGTCGTATGTGATAATTTGAGGGCGAGAGAAGATAGATGATGGGCAGGGTAATGCGATGGGAAGGGTGAAGGGTTGGAGAATGGAGGAGGGGGGTTATACATGGTGTGTTTTAAGTAGGTGAGGAGTTTGGTTCAGGCCTGTATTGGATGATTAGGAGCTGGTTTAGGGTATAGACGATATGGACGAGGTATTGAACGGCGTAGATGGCTTAGGGTTTACAACGCTGGCGATGCGGGTTCAGGATGTGACTTGGCTAGCTTGGATATATGAGATCCGATTCCAAATCGCGAAAGGACTGATGCAGGATGCGGAAGGGTTCCAACTTATGGATGCGTTTGAACGGCCAAGGGTTGGCCACGACATGACGGTAGGGGCGATCCATGGTGATTTAGCCCATAGTTGATGGGATTTTCAAAGTGATGAAGGATAAAACCTGGAGGAAAGGATGATTCGGTTCGCAGATAAGTTCACTTCAGGTGCGATTAGCAATCTAGTATGTAGCAACGGCAGGGAATCGGTTTGCTTCCTTCTACGACCGGGCACATTAGTCATTCCTCTATACCCCCCCTTTTCTCATAGTTAATAGGAAACCTACCTTTACAAAACCGATGCTTGTTGAGCTAAACCTACTATTGACTACAAGAGCGGCCGGATGGTGTGTGAAGCCTCCCACCTACATCTCGGAATGTAAAGAAATCACGATTCAACTGGATTCCAGTCAAAGCAGATCTACACCTTATCGCATCTCTTTGGAAAACCAGACACTGAATAACAGCCCCGAAAAAACTTCTCGCACTCGCGCCCTCAAGACCTCGCCCAGCCCTCAAAACTCTCCTTGAAACCCTCCCTCCACCGACTCAGCGCCGGCCGCCTCAGAACAACATCCTGCGCAGCCCATAGCATCCTCTTGGCTTCCATCTCCTCCGTCACCTCGTTATCGGGACAAATCACATAAAACTCGTCTCTTGCCATCTTGGCCTCGAGGTACTCCGCAACTTGCTCAGGAGTCCACGCGGCGGCAGGCTTCTTTTCCGGCTCGCGTTCATCTTCGCTGCGTCCGAGGCTCGTGAAGATCCATCCGGGCACGAGGAGGAATACACTGGTGGATGAATCTCGAAGGTCGTAGGACAGATGCTCTGCGACGGTTTTGACGGCGGATTTGCTCGCGTTGTAGGCTGGGTTTCCGGGCGGGTCTGTGATGCCTTGTTTTGAGCCGGTGATTACGATGGCGGAGGGGGAGGTGGAGGATGAGACGGCGGGTTTAAAGGTAGCGAGGCCGTTGTGTACGCCAAAGAGGTTTACGTTGAAGATTGTGTGAAAGTTGGAGGGGTCGTCCCAGCTAGAGGGAGGTTGTATCCCGGCGTTGAGGAAGAGAAAGTCGATGCGACCTAGGGGGCGTGTAGTTGTTAGCATGTCTACGAGGGGGGGGAAAGACACCACCTAGTGATGTAGTCTCCTTACCCTGAAAGTCAATGTCAACGCGTTCCTTGAGACGAGCCCAGTTCTCGAGACTGCCGACGTCTGCTTTGGAGGTCAAGACGTCTTTTCCCAGGCTGCGTCGTGCCGAGGCCAGGAATCCGTCGTTGTTGTCGACGAGGAGGACCTTCATCCCCTGGCCGAGGCATTTCTTGGCGACGGCGAGGCCGATGCCTGATGCTCCTCCGGTGATGAGGACCGTTTTGGAGGCTGCGAAGACGAATGGCGACATGGCGGTGGCGGCGGTAGGTTTTGCTCAAGGCATGGAATAATAGACGTGTGGCTTGATTGTGGATAGCTCTCAAGACTTCAAGGTGGTTGAGACTTCCTTCTGTGCTGCTTGGATTTCTAGTGTTGTCCAGCGTATCGTTAAGTACATGAAGCTCTGGCGTGAAGAGTTGCATCATCGAAAGGCCTGATTACCAATCTTCGCGGCACTCACAAAGGGGTAGATTTGCTCGCATGGCAAGTGGAAGCGTCTCGTGGTTCGTAATGGATCAGGATAAGGCTGGTCGGTTGATGAGCAAGAGCCACATTTGGAGGGAGTTTGACGTCGTTGCCAAGCCTGTGGGGAAACCCAGCTTCGGGTATTCTCGCACAGAGCTTGCTTTTGAGTTCGTTTTCAAAGTTGTTCGGTTCGATGTTCTTTCTTCAGGCCACACGGGGGCTCTTCGAGGATGGAGTGAAGCTGTCAGCTCGAGGAAGGCTTGCCTTGGCCGCCACAGTTCGTTACATTTGCTAGAGAGCATCATCGAAGCAAGAGACCGTGTGATTGATGAGAAAGTCCAAATGCCCGAGGACAACATGGCTTGTCTTTATTCGAGCATTGTTGTACATGGCGGACCACCGAGTTCCATGGGCCGCATGTGTCGTCTGTTAGCTTGCCCGCGCATCTGCTCAACCGCGCGGAATCACATCGGCGCGGGCCGGCGGACCCGCACAAATTGGCAAGCGCGGACCACTCTTGTTGTAAACCCCTTTGTATACGGAGTAAGTAAAGTAAGTAATACTCTGTATAAGCAAGCTGACAAGGTTACAAAACGGCGCAGTCGAATTCACACATAAAGAGCCACCCTCCCTACCCCCCGGGGCCAATCCAGCCATCTACATCTTCTCCGTCTGCTGAGTCCCCTCCAATGCCGAACACCACGCGGCACGACGGCAGATATAGATCTCAGCAGCGGGCTTCGACCGATCCAACGCGGAAGGATCATCCAACACGCCGGCCTTGACGAACTTGAACGGGGAAGACGCCCCGTCGGCCCAGAGCGTGACGCCGCAAGTTCCGCAAAAGTGGTTGACGACCTCGTTGCCGCTGTCAGATGCGCTGGCGTAGTCTATCGGCGTGCCCTTTTCGCATGTGAAGGCGGCGGCTGGGACGAGGACGCTTACGCCAAAGGCGCTGCCTGAGACTTTTCGGCAGTCGAGGCAGTGGCAGGCGGCCTGGGTTGTGGGTTAGTGAACGGTATCTGAGTGATGCGAGAAACGTGGTAGTCTTCGGGTTATTGACGGACTGTGGTCACTGGGTCTCCTTTAAACGATATTCTGATGTTGCCGCAGCGGCAGCTTCCGTGAGATGATGCCATGATCTTGGGATGGGCGTCAAGACGTAACTGTAACCAGAGACGGAGATGAGTATAGACCTAGCATGAGTCTGTGGAAGTCTATAAAAGAGTGTAATCATCCAGGTCATTCAAGCTCAGGCACGGGAATTGATTATCAGTCACTCAAAAACTACACGTATCGACGGGCGTCCAAGTGGAATCTCTTACCGAAAAGAGGCAGGGTATCCGCTGGGCCGCCGTCTCCGATGTGGAGCCGAAACTCACCAGTTGTCGTTCCCGGGCTCGGTGTCCGTGAGTCCATCCGAACGGTCAGCCGGTCGGTAATTTTGCTCATGTTTTCAAACCCCCATCACGGATGGTTACGGACTACAGAGGGAGCAATCACCCGACGAACGGCGACGATTCCGTCCTTGCTTGTGTTGGGCCGCGGGAACCAACGTCCCGAGCTCCTCCAGGGCTCCCGTCTTACACCGCAAAAACGCTAGATATGGCGGAGGAGGTCCTGAGAAAAACTCAATCGTCTCTCCGGTTCCCTCCCTTCTTTCCAATGCAGACTCGTGGCAGAGCCCAAGACGATAAGGTTAGTTAGCATGCTTGGCTACTGCGACTTTCAGACTCCCGGGGATTAATTATAGTTTCGCTTCCTCCCGCGCGCTTTGCCCAGAAACAGATCTGAATTGCGGAGCGCCGCCTTGAGTCAACGTCTGTGAGGGACTAGTCAGCGTGAGGTATTCTGTTTGCGAGTCCCAAGCCTCTGTACGAAAGGCCACAACTTCCCTCACAGTTGCTGATAGATGAGTTGAAACTCAGTTACGTTGGCCAACGTTGGCTTAATCGCTAGCAAGACGAAGTCAGTAACACTAACCGTACAATTCACTAGTAGGCAATACGGGGCATAATTGAAAACAGAGAGGCCTCTCTATTGCTACTACTCATACAATTTCTAGTCGTCCCAATCTATGTAATCAACTCCTGCTTCACGCTCAGATAAAAACGCTCTAATAAGCTGAAACAAAAGAAACCGTAGAACAAAAGAAAACGAGCGCAGCATCCCAAACTACTTCTCGCTCGGGAAAGGCGTCAACCACTGGTATCTGCCGTTGAAGACCTCCTTTGCGGGTACAAAGTCCAACACCTTGGACCTCTGAATGGACGGAGACATGCTCAACGAGAAGAAAATCTTCTGCACGAACGAGAAAGCCATGACGTATCTCGCCATGATCCAATCCCACGTCGACGCCCAGGCCTGCGACCTCGTCAACCGCGCCGACGCATCCAGATCCTTCTCCAGGAGAACGTGTCTCTCCTCGCGGTAACCGTCAAAAAGCTTCTGTAGATCGGCGGGGGAGGGTGTGCTGCCGTTGACCACGACCTTCTGCAGCCTGTTGCAGACGGCGACGACGTCCTGAAGACCGTTGTTGAATCCCAGACCGGCGTTGGGGGTGAACTTGTGCACGGCGTCGCCGACGAGGACGACGCGGCCGCCCCAGCTCCAGTTCTTGCAGATGCCCTCCTCGAGACCGGCGCCGCCCGCGCTGTACCGCTCCTTGAAGACGTCCTTGACCGTGACGTTCTCCGCGACGGGCCAGTCGGCGAACCGCTCGGCGTACTCCTCGAGCTGCTCGGGCGTGAAGGAGATCCTCTCGGGGATCGGCGCCGTCAGCTTCTCGTAGAGGAAGATCCACCCGCGCTCCTTGCCGGTGAGGTACATGATGGATTTATCTTTGCTCTGCGTCTCGCACCCTTGTCCGGCGGCGGTGGGTCGCGGGAACGACGCCCACAGGCATTGGTACTGGATCTTGTACGGGTTGACGGGGTCCCACTCGCGCTTGGGGTCCTCTGCGAGGGCGAGCTTGCGCATCTGGCGTCTGGTGGCGGAGTGGACGCCGTCGGCGCCGATGATCATGTTTCCGGAGTACGTTGAGCCGTCTTCGCAGGTCACCGTGACGCCCTTCTCGGTCGACTCGATGTTTGCGAGCTTCTTTCTGGTCAAGTAGCGCGCTCTTGCTGATTCGGGGAGGGTGTCGTAGAGGACCTGGATCAGGTGGGCGCGATGGAACGTGGTGAGGCCTCCGCCGTGACTGAAAGCAGCAGCTGTTAGTAAGAGATTACAATTAGAGTAGTGCAATAGACGACTGTTTACTTCTTCATCATGTAATCGCCAATCAAGTTTTGCTTGAACTTATGGCCGTCGGAGGTGAAACCCGTGCCTGATGACAACATATTGCCAATTTCCATGAGATTCTCGAGGATACCAAGTTGATGGAATACACGTAAGGAGCCAGGGCTAAGGACTAAGCTGGCGCCAACATCGTCGACAATACTATCTCTTCTCTCGAGGACGACGAAGTCGATGCCAGCACGTTCCAATACGTGCGCCGCTGTGATACCACTTGGTCCACCGCCGACGACGATGACTTTGAAGGGTTGGTCAGTCATGTTCAAAAGAGGTGTTTCAATCAGAATATGTGAAAAGATGTCGTGCTCGAATGTCTGTGATCTCTGAATAACCAAACTCGTAAACTTCACTCGCATCATCGTTGGTATTTCAATACAGTCCCTATGTAAGTGGCTCGATACCGAATTACCGCTTTTGGACAATATGATGGAGCAAGTTCCACCACCTGCAACGTCACCTATAATGTCGGTGTCGTCGCGCACTCCTAGACCCCTTTACTCCGTAGAGACTCTAGACTCTGCTCAGCTATTGTCACTGTCCGCTGGGGTGTGGGTTCTCTCCGATTGACGCACATAATAGGCACAAGTGCCATCAAGGGCAATTGGACGGGATTCGGGGGCTCTTGGGACCCTCACGACTGCATTCACGAGAAGTTCCGTTGACACGTCCAGGATGGCATCGGTATCAATATGCATAATCTGGGGTAACTAGTCATTCAATTGCCATTTTGATAGGGGCTGTTGAGGGAACAATCCAGGTCAAAGTTTCGGGAGCGTTTGTCAGATCGACGGGGAAGCTCCACAGCCCTCGGTAAACCAAGTCCGCTTTGGGAAGTCTTTTCCACTGCTCGCCACCAAAACTTGTTCGCGACGGCACGGCGACTGTCCTTCACAGTGCTTTACGTCTACGGATGAACTTCATCCAAAACCTGACAAAGAGCTCGGGCTTTTGTGCGTGGTTCGGCCGTAACGACTGCAGTTCGGACCGAAGCAACACGAGGTATTTGGGACGCCCGCGCATGTTGCCCTTCGAACTTCAACGCGGCTCAGTGGACTACTTTGTCTTTCTCTATGGTTCAATACAGTTCAGACTGTATTGAGTAATCCATCAACTATTGCGATGTAGTCTACGCAATCCAGGAAGCCGACAGTTCTCTGGAGTTCACACGCTTCAGTGACATCGAGCTGGGGTTTGTAAACGAGGGTGGCTTGGGTGGCTATGCTGCCTTGCACGCAATTCCCTCAACGGTTCACACAAGTGCCGAGTCCGTCGTCATGACCTACCACAAGCAGTGCGAGAGACGCGGCCTCGAGATCGGTGGTCGGTGCCGTGGCGGGCCGACTCAGGAACCCGGCTTCTGTCGATGGGAGAAACGGGATGTAGTCCGACGGGGTTCCGTTCCAAATGGAAAGATCTGTCTCCTCTTATTGTTTACGTGAGCGGCACTCGAAAGCGCAGGCTTTGCTCACCTTACTTACACACGGCAATCATGCTTTGAAATCGCCGTATTATTGAACTCGATCAATTTCGTAATGAGGCCCAAGCAAGAAGCTGAAAACAGATTAACTTACTGTCAACAGAGGGCTGATGAGCCCGTCTTGAACTGTGGATAGAGCTTGTGAGTCTCCAAAGCCCTGCCAGCGGACCAGTTCAAAGTTTTTCAACAGCTTGGCACTTTCGACTCCTAGTTTCCTTTTCAAAATAAGATTTGAGCAGCCCGAAGCATTCACTCTTGCTTGCTATAAGAGTCCCTTGTCTCTCGATACTTCCCTGTAGTCTACCACCCTCCACTACCCAATCAGTTTCCAGGTAGCTTCATCGTCATCATCCGAGCCTCTCACATTCTTTTGCCTCGGCTTCAAGAAGACAACAAAATGGGACGTCTTAGCAGCGGCTGCTGGGCACTGTTGGTCGGAGCCACCTCCGCCGTGAGGTTCGACATCGTACCAGACACCACAGGTATAGACAGTCTCGGGGTAAGATACGTCCCTTCCATAGTTCCAAAGACACAGCCATTGTAAGAAAACAAAGAGATCAGTGCTAAAAGATAGTCCGTCTAGTCGAACTTGCCAACTCTGTACTCCTTCCAGGAGTCTCAACTGGCCTCTGAAGCGTCAAACTCCTACTGGGCTGCTTCCTTTGTCACGGCTTCCAACGATCGTCAGTATGCAATCATGTCTCAGCAGATGCCGACGGGTACCGGCCAGAGCATATTCCAGTCATCAATCCTGGATCTCGAAGACACCAACAATTACTGGCTCACAGCTGGACTCGCGCCGCTGCAGGGAAATCTGACGATCAAGAACGGTCTGCTCGACATTGAAGTTCAGGGTTCCGCTTTCAGAAGCGACTCCAGTGACAGTTTCTCGACATTGAACACGTGGGGTGAGTACGATGCGTTCGCGTTCAACCTCACCTTTGACGCCTCGTCACCCGTCATACTCAATGCCGGTGTCGGTCGCTTCCGCTGGGGAACCGGGACCACGACGCAATGGTCGCTGCCGAGCTGCCTGACCCAGGGCTCCTTCACCATCAACGGAACCACTCTCGAGGTCGACCCCACGAGATCTCTGACCTGGTACGACCGCCAGCACGGCGTTGGCGGCCCCAACAACTTCACCTGGTTCGGACTCAACTTCCCTGGCGGTATCAGAGCCAGTATCTGGTACTCCGACACCGCAGAGCCGAGCCAGCAGCTGCGCTTCGCCACCATCCGTGCCGATGACGGGCTTCACATCGTTCGCTTCAAGATGATCCCCGGGAACGCGACTACCTGGACTTCCCCGGTTACGAACACGACGTACGCTCAGGACTGGAGGCTGTTCTTCGACAACGGCGATACCCTTGCCATCAAGAGCATTCGTCAAGACCAAGAGAAGGGCGCGGGCGCGGGTAAGTTTTATAGCGGAGTCGTGGAGGCGGAGGGCAGCCTTTTTGGTCAGCAGAAGGGCTTTGGCTTTGTGGATATTGTTCCTAAGCTCAGCTAGAAGCTGGTGGCTCGATAATGTTCATAATGGAGGAAGTGGGGAGCCCGATATGGTACGCGCGGCACCTGATCGTAGTAGACGGGATGCTGAGAAGAAGAGGGGGCTTCTCGTGGGCCATAATGCCGTAGCTTCAGTCCCCATTTCAAGAAAACCATCTTGCGGATGTAGTAAAATACAGTCAGCTGCAACGTTCACCAGGCTGCGTGATACTCGCCATGATTCCTCAGGCGAACTTTCCTCATCGTTCCAGTTCCAATGATGGCTCAATGTAAGTCAACTCCTTTCGAAAGTGAGACATTGAACCAAGGTTTTAACAAAAAGTAGAACGCCTCTTAGACACAGGAGAAACTCGACGGAAGATGCCGACTTTGTATTTCTTGAAATGTGAGCTTCAATACCTCTATTGACACGGTGAATGGTATACTTGCTTGTAGGTCTCGTTCTGAATTGCCCCCAATTACAACGACCTTAAGTCGCGAAAGTCGCTGCTCTCCCGTGGACGAATATGAAGTTAAAGATAGCCTAGTCACTGGCTTCGAAGATACTTGTATATAGTCCTGTTCACTTGTCAAATCAACCGATGAACCCCATCTGGACACGAGATAAACGTCTAGAGGTCAAAGATTCTCGAAACAACACCCCTTTTCTGATGCTATCTTCAGCATAAGATTTTAGCTTCTCCACAATGGAAGTATAGTCAATGAACATTGTCAAGCTGTACGTAGGTTTGGCATATCTTACCAAGTATTTGAAGGCACTGGCAGGCTTTGAAGAGATGCATGCTTCGGATTGATCAAGTTACACTGAAGCTCGACCCCTACCCTCGAGTTCCAACACCAGGCCAGCTGCAAGCGGTATGTCCGAAATGGAAATCTGCTCATGTCTAGCATACAAAGTTGAGTTCAGACTGATATTGCTCGTGTAGAAGCATGATAGAGAAGTTTGAAGCTTACTTGTAGGTTAAAAGACACAATAGTCCTATTCAGGATAGACGAAAACACACCCGCAAGCTTCGAAGGCAGGCAGGCGGCTGGTCTCAGTACTAAGTCGTCGGTCCACTCGCTCAACAGACAGAGATTCCGAATACCTCGTAATCCTGGCAGCGCCAAGACCCTATCACCAGATAGCAGAGCAGTAATCGATGTTTTGCACACTCTTTGCAAGGTCTAGAACGGCTTGCTGCCAACATCCCGCATCCTGGTTCACGGAAGGCGTTGGCAGCGCGGCAGGAGATCATATCGGACTCTGGCGGGGACACCAATGCGCGCCATGCGACCCAGAGCAAAGAGTTGGTATGCAACGGATTTCAAGCTCAAAGAAGGCATACTATCAGATGGGAAAGCTGCAGTGCTATGTCGCCTCACAAACAAACCCTCCTTCCTAGTGGGGGCTAGTATTTCAATAGGTTGGTTGGTTGTCAGTAACCAACAGCCACGACGCGGCCATATTACCGACGTTGGAAAGCCTCTCGCGGGACTCATATCCCTTTCCAACATGCAGCTTGTTCACTATCTGCAGGTAACGTCTCCACGCGGCCAGATCCTTGTCGCGAAAGTGGCCTGTTGGTAGCAAACTTGCATAATTGTCTCCAGCCAAGGAGAGGGGTAACAAGACGGGCTTATCACTTTCCAAAATGATAAAATGTCGAAACTTGTCGTCGCGCTGGGTTATCTCAACTGCATCGCAGTACTCATCGCCATACTATATATAGGACCATCTCTGCGCAACCAGTCTCACGATGTGTCCCGGCGGCAATACCGAAGACCAAGCACCTGCCAGCTTCCCAGCTGCCGAGGCCACCGCTCAGTCGCCCCAGCCGGTGCCTGAGACCCAGCCGGAACCTGAGACCGAACATGGGGTTGTCGTGGTAGCTGAGGAGGTAATGCGACCGAAATATGAGATTGGTCCAGATGTTCTGACGTGATTCTTCATCTAGTTTACAGATGGACGATTCTTCCATCCACCAGGTGTTTGATTGATGCCCTGTTTCCAGCCCTGGGTCTTCGAAATCTTACCAAGTGAAAAGAGTATCGCTTCCTCGACGACAAGTTTGAGCAGCTCGATCCTCGATTATAGAACCGAGAATGGAAGAACGTATCACAAGTACAAGGACGGCAGTGAGTTCACATTCCTGCCGATATCGAGGGCGTACTGTGCTGTGTAATCTGACCTAGCCTAGAATACTGGATTCCAAATGACGAAAGAGAAAACGACCGCCTTGGTATGTATACTTCAATTTCTTCTCCACGGACATATGAAACTGACAAAGCGCCAACCAGATGTTCAACACAACTTGTTCATACGTACCTTCCGAGGTCGGCTGGGAAACGCTCCCCTAAGCGACCCGGAAGCCAAGGTCGGGCGGGTCCTAGACATTGGGACGGGCAGCGGTATCTGGGCCATTGACTTTGGCGAAGAACACCCCGAAGCCGAGGTCAGTAGATGGAGCATGCGATGGCCGTTGGTATCGACTTCGTACTGATCCGTTTGCGCCTTAGATTCTCGGTGTTGATCTTTCTGCCGCGCAGCCAGAATTGTGTGTCCCTCCCCCCACCCCCCGTTCTCGACGTGACGAGTCCATGGGAAAGTTCGTCAAAGGCTGACTGTTAGGGAGAAAAGTGTCCCCCCCAACGTCCGCTTCGAAATCGAAGATGTTGAAGAACCTTAGATCTTTACGGAGCGTTTCGATTACATCCATAGCCGGATGATGACGTGGAGTATCTCTGACTGGAAGAAGCTCTTCAAGCAGTGTTACGAGTGAGTCTCCCCATCATCTTTCATGGAGTGTTTACGCTGACGCCTTATCCCAAACAGCAACTTGAATCCTGGGGGTAATCTAGAGGCAAACGAGGGTAACATCATCCCCCCTGTCGGACGACGGCACCCTCAAAGACGACTCGGCCCTCATGCAAAGTGTGCGCCTATGGGAATCGGCCGCCGAGATCTTTGGCCGTCCGTTTGAGGACACGAGACGTCTCAAGGACTTTATGGAAGAGGTCGGCTTTGAGGACGTCCACATTCTCAAGTACAAGTGGCCCACGAACACCTGGCCTAAGGACCCTCACTACAAGGACCTTGGCTCGTGGAGTTACGAGAATGTGTCGCTCTCTTGGGAAGGTTTCCTGATGGCACCTCTGACGAGAGCACACAACTGGACGAGGGAAGAGGCACTCGTCCACATCATGGAGGCTCGGAGGGACTTGTCGGACAGGACTATTCACACTTACTTCAACGTGTGAGCGATACCCAGCTACTTATCTTCGAAGCTCAGGTGCTAACTGACGTTTATAGTTGGTCCATTTACGGAAGAAAACCTATGAAGGCTGATGACGCAGAAAATTAAGAAAGAGTGCTATATTTCTGTTACTATTAGTCTCCAGATCCTTCGCTGGAGAACAACTCATGGATGAGAAATAGCGGCATCCCTGTCATTGGGTCTCCTTGATCTAGTCAGATCAGAGCGAGTTGATTCCTGTCGTTGGTCTGAGCAGTTGGCAGTAGATAAGTTGGTACGAACCGTAACTTTTCGAGCTCTCATTAGCAATGGTGTTCCGCATCAGGGCTTTTTCTTTCGCTTTGTTCTCTTTAACGCAAATGGAGCTCATGTAGGGCCGGCCGACTGAGTAGGCCGCGCTTCGCCATTGAGCATATTGTAATGCACCACTGCAGCACATAACCGTTATAAGTGCGGCCGAAGCCATCCGTTACCGCCAGAAGGCACCTGGAAAGATACAGGTGGAACTGCTCTTCTAACTCACAAGAAATACTCATAATCATCACCAAACGTCGAGAGCTCTGTATTGCCGGCCTCGAGGCCAAATGCTGTGTCCGTTACCTAGAGAATATGCCGTTCAGACAACGTGGGAAAGGCAACCTACCCCAACCAAGTCTATCTAGTGTGACATTATTCTCATGACATGAACTTAGCGACCGATCAGTTGGAGACAGCTTCCGATTTGTCGGTACGAACATGCCTGCTCGTCGCTGCAAATGAGGATGATTTGGGGTACTTGAAGCTCAATGCTTGCGCGACGGCGGCAAATCATCACGGCGGTTCTTATTACTATGGGTGGTCGGCTGCACCACTCACTCAACTCAACTTTAGGTTGAAAAGCCTAGAGTTACGATCGCGATAGCAGCCATATGGATGGAGCGGTCGAATACCGAGAATGATTTACTTTCCAAGTTAAGTCTACAGATATTGAAGATCTTGCACCATCCCCCATGTACTCCGTACAACATGCCCGAATATCTGAACCCCTCGTTCGCAAAGTTGATACAACAGACAACATCGCCTAAATAACAACGATCAACTCTGACTGAGGCTCAATTTCTTCATTCGCCATGCAAGATCAGCCAAAAAGAAGGAGGCAGCCCAGATCTGGAACTGCAAAAGGAAAGTGCTCAATGCGAAGGCGGGATTTAACCGCTGAAGACTCCCCGAGGTGGGCTCGAACCACCAACCTCCAGATTAACAGTCTGACGCGCTAGCCAATTGTGCCATCGGGGATTTGAGCTATTGATGGAAAGTTGGGACAATTTCACTTTTATCAATGCCGAGGTCAAGCTAGGCGGGGAGGGGAGCGCGCGAAACCACTCGGAACCTATCCGAAAGCAAAACCCGCAAGACGGGGTAGCTGGGCCGGAAACAAGCGAAACGACCGACGGCACGAGTCCGACTCGAACTTTTTTGGTCTTTTTTAGAGCCTGAGTTGCCCTGAGGTTTCCTTTCCCCACGCGCGGCAGGCCAAAATGGGCCCCAACTTCTAAGAATAATTCACCCTACCTTTACCTACCAACTACTCCGTACCTACCCATGCGCCGAAAAGTAAACACGAACAAAGGAACGCGAGAATAGAAGGAGAAAAGAGGCGATTCATATTGCCTGCCCAACGTCGCACACGTAGATCTCAATTTCGACCGGGCTGTTTCTTCCATTCAGCCCTCTTTTCCTTCTTTCCCTTTTACCCCCAAATGTACGGCGTGCACCATACCCGCCCTAACGGATGAAGAAGGGGGAAAAAAGCCACAAAAGCCCAGGGGTGCCAGACTGCCAGCAGCAGGGCGGCGTCTAGCGGAGATGCCAAAATGACTGGCGCAGAAACAACCCGTGAACATCCTGTCGGGTCATCCATCGGCCACCCATGATCCGCCCCCCGGGGGGGTGGCCTTGGGCCTTGGGGCATTTTGAGGCTCGACGTCGGCTCCCACCTCCAGCCTCCAGAGGGCCTTTCCGACTTCACCTCGTCCCATCAAAACAAGGCGCGCCCGCAAACCGTTTGATTTTTGGTTCCCTCTCTCTCTCGTCACTCGTGCCTTGCCAAGATGCGGGAGAGCGGGCGCTGAGTAGGGTCCAATATTCCTTCAAGACGGTCTGAGCTTTCTTTCCTAACTTGACTGAAAGTAGCAACAACCAGTGAGAGAGAGAGAGAGAGAGAGGGAGAAAGTGACTAACTGACCACTGCTCTCTTTAGACTTTGACGCCTTCCCCCGAGCGATCATCTCTCTCTCCCCTAACGTCAAAGAGGTTCTGAATTACCGTCATACCCGGTACCAGGAATCGCCATCTTGGTTCGGTTTTCCCATTCCTATCGAGATGAGTGATCATGAATCTAGCTAGCCCATCAGGCGTCTGCGGAATTCCGTCCGTCCACATACCAGAGCTTTTCGAAGGCTTGTTCGGCCGAAGCTTGTCAGCGCCTTCGCGTCTAACTCGCTTCCTTTTGCCGTCGTCTCATTTTACCGCCGCCCGCCACCTCCATCGAGACGGAGAAGCAACAAACCACTTGGCCCAGGCAAGCTAATTTTATAGAGTTTGGCGTTCGATTCGGTTTCGGGAATGGGGGGGCCCTATGGTGTAATCTAGCGTGAGTGAGCAAGTGAAGTGAAGTGATGTGTGTGAGTGTGACTGACGCCGCCATGCGTCCTTTTTCACAGTGAGAGGCTATTTCTGCGCTAAACACTTCATCAGATTTCAACGGTCTCCTCCTTTCGGTGCCGTAAGTGCCGAAGTAGATGCCTAGATCCGCGGGAGGAGGAAGGATGCCGCCGCCGTCGAAACCCGTCCTCTCTCAGCTTGATCCGAAGTTCTCGAGAGAGAGTTGGGAGGGGGGCAAAAAGGGGCGCTGTTTGGGCAGTACGGTGCACCAGACGACCACCATCCTCCAGGTCCGTGATGCTTTCAACATCCGCCAGCTGGGTTGATCGCCGTTGCCGCCTCCTCCCCTGAGCCCATCGATGTAGGACGGGATGCGCCGGTCTCGGGAATCCCAGCCAAGGCCTCTCACACACACACACACACACACACACACACACACACTCCATCAACTTTCACATATTCCGAAAGTTTGACGTGGTCTGGGTAATGCCGGCTCATCGCGGATACCAGATTCCCGGTTGCCTAGACTAGTTGCGAGTGTGTCGGTACCACACAAAGCTATCAAATAAAACCAACAAGCCCAAAAAGTGCCTCAAAGCCTCCAAGGAATGAACTCCGGGTGAGAAGGGACCTGACTCGCGGACAAAGTGTAAATGCGCCCCCCCCCCCCGTGTCTGTTGACGACCGCAACGACAATCGGGACGATTTGGCGAGAGGGATTGGGACCAAGAAGGCACACACACCACCACGGTCTCAGAAAACAAAGTTTACATGTCCGATAGTCTGGCAGACTTTCAGACTTTCCAGAAACCTTGTGGCGCGTGTCAGTCGACGTGAGTGGTGCGGATGACAAGAGCAGGGCGTTAGTAACGCGCCACACCATAGCCCAGCGTCAAACGTTTGGGTGCAGCAAGCCTCAAAGGAATCCGTTAGTTGCGTGTGCTCTGGTACGCCAAACGCTCTTGATATGACGACCAAGTCATGCCATCCCGCAATGGCAACCTAGGCAAATCCACCACCACCACCGCCGCCAGTGACCAACCAGGCAACCAGCCAACCCCCATTTCGAAAATAGATTGGACGCTTTTTGAGGGGGGACATTCCCGTGAGGCTACTAACAAGGTTGCCATCAACCCGGGCCAACTGTCCATGGGGCATTTCCCGACGCTAGGGAGCGAGGTCTGTCTGCCTGCATATCACTCTAAAGCATCATCATCTGGAGTCGGTTCGCCGTCTCTCACTGTGCACTTTCTCCTAAACAACAACGGGATCGAGGAAAAAACAGACTTCCACGCCACTCCGGATTCTCACCGGGTGATCCGTATGCCTATCAAACACTAGCTTGTGGGTTGGAGAACGGCAGAAGACCCGAGGTGGCAAACGGTTGGACCCTTTTGACGGAAGTTTAACTGTATCAAGCCCTTGATGAGGGTCTTGAGAGATTTCCCGAGCCAGGGCATAGGGCTTGACTACCATTGGGCACTTGTCCGAGAAGATAGTCGTTGGGAATCTTTGTGAAATGCCCTCGGAGGGACTAACATGACACCTTGGCAGGACAACTGCTAAACAACCATCATTGGGGCTCCGCCAAGTCACACGCAAATGACATAGTATTAATCAGACTGGCAACGGTACTCCCACGCGTCACAGCAAGCTGTAGAAAGCTGGTAGATCGCGATCTTTTTGTTGATCAACGACATGTCACCGAAGCACACGGCTTCCTATCCAGAGAGGGGAGGTGATGGGATGATCCGCACTCTATCGGAGACACAGGACTGCATCCCAAGGATCGGGGCATGAACGTCTCACGCTACACCTCATTTACTGCCAGGAAGCGGGAAACCCACGCAGCGCAATCGTGGCGGGCGATGATCTCGCCAATCTCGGGCTCGGGGCATGCAAAAGTTGCAGCTGTGGATGTTAGCGTGCAGAGTACACCGCAAGGTGGTAAACTAACGGAGCGGTGGACATCTTGCGCTCAGGAGCTGCGCATGTGCTGAAGAAGACACCGACCGGTATTGGGCCGGTCGTGCTGTGGCTTTTGCAGCACAGTAGAGACTGTACAACGTTGCTTGATGATCTATAGTCTTGGGTGCAAGAAGCCGTTGAGAGATCGGGTGAGGCGTCCCGGCTGGGACGCAATGACCAAAGGGAAGGGGGAGGGGGGGGGGGGGGGGGAAAGCCAGGAAAAGGGGGGCTCCAGTGAGGGGGAGATTGACGGATGGCGGATGCTGTGACAAATGCTTGAGGTGCAGCAGATGGATATGTCGTTCGACAGAGCATCATGAACTTTCCCCCCTTGCGCACGTCGAAGATCATGGAACCGATTACAAGGGCAACCCCCCCTGAAGCCGGGGACGGAACGAACTGGACGACCAAGCAGCCAACAGATACGCGCACAAAGAAGCCCAAGTTGTGTTGTCGAGCACGTGGAGGCAACAGGGTGACTGACGGCTGGCAGGGCGGACCCAACTCAGACCCGTTGGGGACTAAGTTGCGTTCAGCCACAGATCGAGGCAAATAAATGGCGTTCGACGGCCGCGGGGTGCGCTTATTCTGCGGTAATCCATGTGCCTGGAGCCGGTGGGTAGCGGAAAAGCAGACGGCGTGTTGACCTAGCTGTGCCGAGTAAAGTGTCGATAATGAGCGCAGGCCGAGTCAGAAAGGTACAGACAGCGTCGATCAGGTTCGATCATATCATTGTTGGCCATGGAGGCGCCAGACGTTAGGTTTTGGGAAACAAAAGCCAAGACGAATTAGGTGCCAAGAGGGTGGTCAAGCCGTCCCGGCGGCCATGGTTCGTTCCACGAGGCCAGCAACTGGTTACTGTTAGCTCGCAGCGCTTGTCATGCTGTGAACTGTCAGAGCCCTGGTCACGGGTCAGTGGTGGGAATTCTCTAC